CTTGCCTTCACCCTACACCCTCTAGGGGCAACTTCCTACCTATCCGGGACCATGCCACACCCATCCGGGACCATGCCCTAGTGGTTACAAACAGACAGACAAACACACCAAACTGCTGCTTTATATATAAGAGGATCCGCCATGCCCTAGTGATTACAAACAGACAGACAAACACACCAAACTGCTGCTTTATATATAACGGACAAGAACCGCCTCCTGCCATAAAAGTCACCGTGCTCCACCGCTCGAAGGATGCTCCTTGGAAAGAAAAGTGCTAGAGGCACTCGCTATCAAGCGACTGTCTCCAGAAATAAACAACAGAGAGGAACTCATAGAGGCAATGAGACTTAATAAGTTAACGGTGTATATATGCGAGCACAGTGAAAAGAGTCACGTACTGCTCATTTTGAGTACTTTTCATTTGGTTAGCGACTGTCCTAGGTAAGGTGTCATCATTCTATTGTCGCCAATTGTGTTAGTTCGGATTGTAGCTTAACTTTGCAGTCTCAAGTAGTTGTTTGCAGAATTCTTTAATTGAAAGTAGCCGCCTGGTCAGTTAGTTATCATTTGCTATAAGTATTGCAAAGGCTGTTTAATTGTGATATGCTTGTAACTTTTTCTAGGTCTGAGGAAGCTGTTATATCAGCGAAAGCTCACCAATAAAGCTTGAAAAGAAAGAGTCCTCAACAACTACAAAGATTTGCTAAAGAGAACATAGACAGAATAAAGTTTCGCTTTCTCATTTGGTTGACGGAAAACTTTTACCATTTATGAAGGTCGTCGTCGTCACTCGTGCTATAAGGTTTGCAGTGTAAATGAACCTGGCCACTGGGTACAAATTGTATTATATTTATGTACCTCACCTTGGTGGGTCAGCAAAGGCCATGGGATGAAATTTGCTCATTAAGCCTGTCGCTTCTTTCCCCTTCAAATTATTTCCCTCCTTGCTCCGAAATCCTATCCCTGGTACTTCTTTTACCATCCAGCACCAAAGCCGTGCAGCATAAAAAAGGGGGAAGAGGTGGCGCGAAATGAAGGACTCAAGAGTTGAGAGTTTGGGAGATCTTCTTCTGCAGAATCGGGTTTCCGTAGTTTGTACGGCTGCTGTACTAAAAGGCTCTACTCCTCCCCCTTCCCTCTCTACCGTGGGGTAAACAGCACCTCCTTTTAGTATTTCATTATGGGTTGACGGATGACGTAAATTACATAGCGTATAGGATGCTTTCGTAGTCGGTCGTCCGATCGTAACGATCACACAGCATTGGTATCGATCGTTCGAGCCGATAGCCGATATTTCGGGAAATGAGAAGAGCGTCGAGTGCAGACCACACACCACAAGTGACGACGGCCAAGAAAAAAGGCTTTTTCTTTCTTTTTCTTGGCCGTCGTCACTTGTGGTGTGTGGTCTGCACTCGACGCTCTTCTCGTTTTCCGAAATGAGGGTACACTCCCTCATTTTCAACATTTTTTCTGTATCACAGTTGATACTCTATCTCATTGCGTCTTTTACAGTGAAGAAATTGAAGCACGCCCTTGGTGTCCATCACACCATTGTCGGCCCTATCCAAGTGTGACTAAATTGGCCGGAGGGTAAGGAGCTCTGGGGTGGGTGAACCACTTCTTTTGTGCGAGAAGGAAATTAGGTGAGTATTACTTTTTTATGGGGCTGCTTACCTAAGAGGGGTACTAGTACAAAGCACCTCAGGAGAGTCATGGGATGAAGATTTTGCTGGAGCTTAAGGGAGGGGAAGTGGCTCTGGGGTGCACACACTTAACACGAGATGGTGAAGCCTATTTTTTCACTAGAAACTTTCGCCCCGCGAAGCCTTTCCCTCACCCCTCCAAAATCCTCATCCTTCTGACTCACAATAGCTGCTCATAGCACTTGTGCTACGAAGAATCCTTGTGCAAAGTTGGGCGTTGTCTGCATGAACTAGCTCAAACACTCCCTCTCCCGCTGTTTGGACAATTAGCGCTCTCTTTTAATGTTAACATCAAAAGAACAGTCTCTCTTGGTTTCAAATACGTTACATGCTTCCACCAAAATACCACTCCCATACCACCTCAAAACGCAGACTTTGGAATGATATTAGACCTATGCTGGCCATCACCTATGTTGTAAACCAGAACATGGTTAGCCTCCTTCTTTGATATACTGGGGTGCAAAACTTAAGGACGAGATGGATAAATTGACCTAACTTATTAACAATCGATGGAATTGGATGAAACTGTGCAAGCATAATGCTAGAAGCCCTACAGTCATGGGCATCAAAGTGGGCCGGCTTCAATCTGGAGCCAAAAGGGAGTGGCCACGCAGAACGAGGGGTTTGGTGGGACAGGACAAGAGGGAGTGTACTGAGCAGGGAGAAGTTACTGTGGAATGTAGTGGTGTTCTTGATTACAGCAAGTCTCAGAGACAACACTAGGTGACTTCCTGCGAGGAAGAATCACCGGGAAACTGGAAGAAGGAAGATTTGTAACGAGTGTGGTCCAGGAGTTTGATGTTGCTCACACCATTGTTTTGTGCGCATAAGGAGCAATAGCAGCCACTGCTGCCCCTAGAAGAGTAGGTGGTGGATCACGATCAACTGCAACAGCAGGTGATTGCTAGGTTTTGCAACAGGCAAAAATGGACCTACGTCAGTCACAGCTGCAGTTGCAAAAACATTTATCAGGATTGTAAGGCACGTAATCCCAGCCTGAACAGTGGCGCAGTGACCGCGTAGGGATGGTCTCTCTGACCGACCAACAGTATCTGGTGTTCCTTCGAAACCCGCGCATTGGCGGGAACATTTGCTAGGTGCCGGGACATTGGCGATGGACCACTGATTTGGATGATCGCGTGTTCTTCTCAGTTAAGATCAAATTGAATGTAAGTAGTGATTTTGGACTTACCGCATGTGGCGAGAATAGGAACATGTAATGCACCCAGGACCATCGTTCAACATGATTGTTTTGATAGTCCATTCGATATGGTGTGGGGAGGCATAAAGTTGCAAGGGCGTACCAACCTCCCAACTCCTGATCGCGGAATGCTTTCTGATCGACGTTATTGTGACGCTGTACTCCTCACTATGTGCATCTTTTCAAGGTGCCTGTTGATTTCACTTTCAGTCGGAGGACAAGGTGGGAGAGCATCGAGCAACCTAGGTGGAAAACTCTTGGAAAGTGAGGATTTTCGGCGATTGGTGCTTCCTCCAGTCAAATCCTATGGAGCACGTGTGGCGTGCTTCAGGAGAGCTATTGTAGCGCATCCCCATGCGCCAACAATTGTCCAGCAGTTGTCCATCGCGGTCTTTAAAGCAACAGTCCCAGCAGGTTTTACCTTCGACACTAATGGTGTGGAACGATGCGCTAGCCCTAGTCAAGAACATAAGAAGTGTGACTGAACAAAAAACTCACCTTGGAAAGCCGCTAGAAAGGGAGCTGAACGGCTTCGAAGTGGGCGTGGTTGGAAATCGGCTGAATTCGGCCGATTTCCAACCACGCCCACTTCGAAGCCGTTCAGCTCCCTTTCTAGCGGCTTTCCAAGGTGAGTTTTTTGTTCAATCACACTTCTTATGCTTGACTAGGGCTAGCGTTCCACACCATTAGTGTCGAAGGTGAAAACCCTGCTGGGACTGTTGCTTTAAGGAGCGGATCGCTTTTCCACAAGAACTCTTCGCCAACCTTGTGGCCAGTATTGGAGCACGTGGCAGAGCATGCTTTGCAGTCCGTAGTGTTCATACACCCCATCAAGAACCAGCTCCTCTCTTTTGAATGTCTACCATGAGTTGGAGTAGCCTCACCTATCGACCGCTTCAGACAGGGTATTTGCAGAAAAATGTCTTTTCCAATCGCCCCTTTGCGCTTTTCTGTTAGTAACTCTCTGCACTGTACCGCAACATTTACTTCTATATATGTGCCAAATTTGGTCCACCTAGGTTAACTAGCAGTGAGATATCATGTGAAAGTTACTTCCGTCCTTAAGTTTTGCACACCAGTGTAGTAGGCGTAGGCTAAGTCACCACGATCGTAGGCACGTGCACTGCGCGATTCTTGACGCGAATTTGTTTAGTCAAGGGACCTTAGGTAGCTATTACGGAGAGTCCATGATACCTAAGGCATGGTTCACTAGGACAGTAAGCGATTTTCCGCTTCTCGCAGCGGGCCTGGAGATGACACTGCTGTTTGTGGTACTCCGCACAAATCCGGGAGCAGTCGACACTAGGCGATGCTCATTGCGACATTGTGACGTAATAGAAGCAGCCAAAGGATCTCCAGCATGCAGCGGCAAAGTCTATCTTATCGAACTGCTTAGCCCTCGTGCCCGTAATATTGTACTAAAATTACAATCGACACTCGCAACTTGTAGATCGCTAGTTATATACACGTATGGTACTGAAAGCTAATAGGAATAATAGATACCCAACTATGGCGATTGTGAACTCGTGCGGAACACATCTGTTACGAATCTGTTCTGTTATGATCCTACAACACCAGCAACGCTCTACAGGTTTTATGCATGCTGCCTCTTGCTTATCTCGGCAGCAAAAACAGCTCTTTTCAAGTCGCTCCATATCTTTTTAGTGAAACATCCTCTGTAGTTTGACTGTGTTGCTGTCACAACATCAGCACACCCCATGCTCCATTCGAATCTGCGCGCGCGCCGGACGTGAACTGGATTACGGTAGCCCTAGCCTAGTGCTGAAGTTACATCCTTGTGTGACCGGACAAATGTTATTTTTGAGAAGAACCAAGTTCTCAGTGGATAAACACCAAATTCCCTTATGGTTTCGAAATTTGTTCTCATTGATGGTGAGATTTCAGGAGATTCATGAAGACCCTCACCTGTTTGTGGAGGGGGCATCCCCAAATGATGTTACTCAAGGCATCCTTGGTAACTGTTGGTTCGTCTCCGCGTGCTCTGCTCTGACACACAATCAACATTTATTGAACAGGGTGCGAAATATTCATTTAATTTCAATGTTATCCTTTTTCTCTGACCACGTACTGTTCAGGTTATACCAGATGCAGAGTCGCAGGAATGGAATTCTAAGAAAGAATATGCGGGTGTGTTCAGATTTCGCTTTTGGAGATTTGGTACATGGGTGGAAGTGGTGATAGATGACCTTCTACCAACAAGGTGAAGAAACAGCGCATATCATTTAGTCAGTACACTTTCGGTAAATCGTTCATAATAGTAATGGTATATTCAGAGGAGGCAAACTACTTTTTGCCAGGTCGAAAACTCCGAACGAGTTCTGGTCAGCACTCCTTGAAAAGGCATTTGCAAAGTGAGTGTTTCTTTGTCCTGAATACAATGGCATATGTATAAAAAGCTGAATCGTCACGTAGGCAATGGGCTTGCAATGGCGGATTGGCTCTAAATTCCCTTGCGCATGGTATCTGCCATAGTATCACTCACGATAGACAGCGTGCATAACCAGTGCATCTTCGCCGCGGCGTGGCTGCTCGCTCAGCGTTAGCGTGGCGAGAGAGCCCATGTCTTCTGGTTTATTTGCCGTTTTCAAGTAACAAATTATTAGTAAGCTCTTCCGAGTCCAGAATTTATATATTTGGATTCTGGTAAAGTTACTGCCAGATTATTGGCTCTGGACAATACGGACAAAACCTACGGAGGAACACTCAAGGCTGCGCCCTTTTTTTGTGAAGGAAGTTAGTTCACTGGACCTGAGTGCGAGCAAAATGATAATGAGCGACATCCATATTGCAACATCCTAATATACAGGGTTACTTGAGAAATTCCCGCCACTTCCAACATTGGAATTTTGGAGCGCATATTTCTGTTCAAACAAGGCATTTTTGATAGGAAGAAAAACACTTACAATTTCCATACTTATGCTTCTGTTCAAACAAGGCATTTTCGATAGGAAGAAAAACACTTACAATTTCCATACTTATGCCTATGAGGAGAACGAACATATCCGGAGTTGGGTTGGAGCTGCGGAGAGTCCAAAAAGTTAGTTACTACTTGTTACTAAGAGTTACTAACACTGTTCGCTGGCGATACTCAAGTCACGATCGTTTTCTTCGACGAGAAAAACTCGCTATAAGTTCGTATTATTGCCAATACAATCGCATTCGGCTAGAAGTATTGAGAGTGAAATCTCTACGAGAAAGATAGTTTGAAGAGAGGGCGATGAAACTCCGCATCAAAATATGTGGGATAGCGCCAGGCAAGTCGCTTGTTTCGTTGATTGGGTTAATATGTGAACAAGATTTTTGTAGCCGCGAGCCTCACATCATTAACTTGGATTAGAAGCGTTAACAATTAAAAGGGCAAGTGTAGTGGCAAGTGGCACGCTTACCACGCGAGCGGTCCGGGATCAAATCCTGGGTCGCCCGGGCCAACCAAGCCTTCCATCCCTCCGGGGTCGGTTAATTGGTACCAGACTTGTCTGGGAGGATAAAAACACTGACTTGTACATCGGCTGGCCCCCGCAAGTCATTGTATAGGCCACATCGCATTCAAACGCCACTACGAATGTACAAATGGAAGTAGAATGCGTGCCGCATCCCAAAAAGGGATTGATCAACGGCAAATGCTTTATCTTATCCTTTAAATACGCAATCTTAGATGCAACAAAATATTTCAAGTGATATTCGATGTGTCAAACTTATCAGAAGGGACAACTGTAAAAAATCGATCGAATTGACGTTTTCTGGCAATGAAAGGCAAGTTTCAGTTGCTTTTGCTATAGTGGAACCTCAAAATTATTTTGAACATGATGCTCCACCAAAATCATATCGCGCTAGGATATAAATTCAGTCATTCACTCATCCCAATTGCATCCCTGCAGCGCTGACTGTTTTGATCATTCGTAACAGAAGCGCTGACCTCCTCGACTCGATCTCTGAAACATAATAGCAGCCAGTAGCAAGATTCCTGCAGAAGAAATCTTTTTTCAACTGTGCTCTTCTTTTGGATAAAGTCACAGCCCTACAACCTATCGGCTCTTAGCACGACTGATTGTCAGTGTCAATTTCTGAATCATGATTTATCTTATACTGTTTATGAATCATGTTGTGGATAAGATGTTCCAGCGGCTGTGCTGTGCTGCAGAAATTGCGTCACATCTGCTGGTAATCTTTTATTGTATTTGTTATGTGACAGTGTTGTGGCGATTTCATAGCATGAAAATCTTTGAGCGAATTGTAGACAGTCGTATCCGTGACATCGTCGAGCTGACCACCAACCAGTGTGGTTTTGTGCTGGTTGCAGCACCATCGATGCCATACACGCCGCTCGCCTTCTGCTAGAAAAGCATCGCGAAAAACAAAAGCCGATGCATCTTGCCTTCCTAGACTTGGAGAAGGCTTTCGATCGCGTTCCACGAGAATGTTACTCAGCAAGGAGAAGTTGCTGTTGAATGTATTGGTGCTCCTGATTACAGCAAGTCTCAGAAACAATGCTATTCCTGCGAATTCCTGCGAGGAAGAATCACCGGGAAACTGGAAGAAGGAAGATTTGGAAACGAGTGTAGGACCAGGAGTTTGATATTGCTCACACCATTGTTTCAAGCGCATTGTGCATAAGAAGCAATAGCAACTGCAGCCACTGCTGCCCCTAGAAGAGTAGGTGGTGGATCACGATCAACTGCAACAGCATGTGATCGCTAGGTTTTGCAACAGGCAAGAAATGTGCCTACTTCAGTCGCAAGCTGCAGTTGCAAAATCATTTATCAGGATTGCGGCACGGATTTCAGCCTGAACAGTAGCTTAGGGACCGCGTAGGGATGGTCCTCTGACCGACTAACAGTATCTGGTGTTTCTTCGAAACCGCGCATTGGCGGGAACATTTGCTGGGTGCCGGGGCACTGGCGGACCACTGATTGGAATGATCGCGTGTTCTTCTCAATTAAGATCAGATTGGAAAAGTGGTGACTTTGGACTTCCCGCATGTGGCGAGAATAGGAACATGTAATGCACCCAGACCATCGTTCAACATGTTTGTTCTTGATAGTCCATTCGATATGGTGTGGAGGAGGCATAAAGTTGCAAGGGCGTACCAACCTCCCAACTCCTGATCGCGGAATACTTTCTGGTCGACGTAATTGTGACACTGCACTCCTCACCTATATGTATCTTTTCGAAGGTGCCTGTGATTTCACTTTCAGTCGGAGGGCAAGGTGGCTAGCAGCATCGAGAACCGGAGGTGGGCAAATTCACGGAAAGTGGGCTTTTCGGCGATTGAGGCTTCCTCCAGTCACATCCTATGGAGCACATGTGGCTTGCTTCTGGAGAGCTATTGTAGCGCGTCCCTATGCGCCAACAATTGTCCAGCAGTTGTCCATCGCGGTCTTTAAAGCAACAGTCCCAGCAAGGTTTCACCTTCGACACTAGCGATGTGGAACGATGCGCTGGCCCTGATCAAGAAAAAAAAAAAAGAGTGTTAAGATGCTGTGAGGAGCTGAACGGGTCCGAAGTGGGCGTGGTTGGAAATCGGCTGCAATTGCCTCGGCCAGTTCCCAACCCACTTCAGAGCCGTTCAGCCCCTTTAGCAGCGTTCCAAGGTGAGTTTTTCGTATAATCACACTCCTTACGACTAAGGACTAGGGCCAGCGTTCTACACCATTATTGTCTAAGGTGAAAACCCTGCTGGGACTGTTGCTTTAAGGAGCGGATCGCGTTCCACAAGAACTCTTGCAACTTGTGGCCAGTATTGGAGCACGTGGCAGAGCATACTTGCAGTCCGTAGTGTTCATACACCCCATCAAGAACCAGCTCCTCTCTTTTGAATGTCTACCATGAGTTGGAGAAGCCTCACCTATCGACCGCTTCAGACAGGGTATTTGCAGAAAAATGTCTTTTCCAATCGCCCCTTTGCGCTTTTTGTTAGCAACTCTCTGCACTGCACCGCAACACTTACTTCTATTTTGTGGCAAATTTGATCGACCTAAATTAGCTAGCAGCGGGATATCATGTGAAAGGTACTTCCGTCTTTAAGTTTTGCACTCCAGTGTAGTAGGCGTAGGCTAAGTCACCACGATCGTAGGCGCGTGCACTGCGCGATTCTTGACGCGA